CGGCGGCGGCGGNGGAGGAGGGGGGGGGGGGTCCCTGTTTGTGGTTTCCCGGCTTGGCTGTGCCCATTTCTTCAGCCGGACCATCACATGCCTCGATCCCCGAGGCGCGATCGTGACGATGCAGCGAGCGGCCAACGCCGGTCGTGGTTCTAGTCAGGCACACAATGTATTCAATTAGCCCCCCCCGTCGCGACTGTTTTCTGAATACCGCGCCCGATGCTATCCGGTTTTTTTACGCAAATGGGCAAGTGTGAATGCCGGGTTCGTCTCTTAGCCTGTAGGGCTTTGGGGAGCATGACAAACTTTAAATAAGTACTGGGAAAACTTGGGTTGGCGCCCTCTGCGCCAGACGAAGCGTAATAACTAGTTACTTGTGCGCACATCACCAAGAGGGGGGCCGCCGCCGACTTCCAAGCGAACTTTGGCCGGGCGCGGCCGTTGAGATGACCCAGGGTGCTGGGATGGGGCCGATCAGGGACGAGGGGTGGGCAGCAGAGGTATCATGCACGATTCAGGAAGCCATCGGTCAATTTCACGCACTGGGGCCGAAATTTATGCTAGTGGTCCGCCGTACGGCGCTGTCCCTCTAGTTAGTTAGGAGTCGTGAGGGCTAACTATGTATGAAGGAGCTTCTTGGGTAGTGAGTGGCCCGTCGAGGGATTTCAGTGTCTTCTCGCGTACTCTGTGAAACGATGGCGGGCGATCTGGATCGGCAATGCAAACCCAACAAGTTCAAAAGGAAGTCGAGATGAACGACTAACAAAGGGCACACTCTGCGGCAGTCTGGTGCCCGTCATTGAAGCGCTAGAGTGTTGCAGAGAAGAAACGCAGTTCTTCTCCAAGAAAGACTGCTTGGTCTCGTGTATAAGATGATGGACACGCTGGCTTTTCTTCCTGCGGGGGAGCTTCTCCGAAGCGCTTCGGACTTTTCGGTGACATGCCAAGCGTACCCAAGCGTTACCCAATAGCGTAGGGACGTCGGCCAATTCCCCAAAGATCCGGACTTTGAACTCTGCTCGAGACCAAAGGTTTTTGCTGTGGGCTCCGTTGGTCACTAAATGACCTAAATGACTAACAAGGTTGATCCGTTGCGGATACAAGCGCCTGCGTCTCGGCGTCGAGGAGCGGACGGACTAGGCCGGTGTGCGTTCTTGTCATGCGAGCATGCGAGTTGCAGAGTACATAGTTAGCTACAGGGTGGGCCACTGAAAAATAGAAGGCTCCTGGAAGCTGGTCAGCAATCAAGAATACTTCTAGTCTCGATTCAGGCTCATGCATGCAGCTCTGACTCTCTCTCGGCCCCCCTTCCAGTGGGCTCAGCGGTTGCCCGAAAGTATCTACAAGGCCTGTTGAAACTCTGAAATTCGGGGATTTGCTTCTCTTTCCCCGTCCAGCGTTTATTTGTTCGTTGGTTCGTTTGTTCGTTCGGCTGGTCTCCGTTGACAAAAGGTTCAAGCAGCTTCCTCTTTTGAACCAAGGCGTTATCGAAATCTGCTTTCTGACAAGTGGCTGGACGTTTTTTTTTTTTAATTTCATTTATTACGTCAAAGAGGAACCTTGCGTATGTGGGGGGGGGCGATATTGCTTGTCGCAATATCACGAGATGCTCTTATGCACGCTCGACTCTTTTCTACTGAGAAGGCGGAGCTTCCCTGCCTTGTCAAAGAAGAAGAAAAAAGTGTAATAAATTATAGATTATTACAAGGGCAAAGGTGAGGCCAGGTCGACAATAACGCGCAGATAAACTCTAACTACATAATGCATGGGTATACTGACCAGTCAGTCTCTATTGTCCTTGCTATTGAGCACTTATCCGAGCCTACTAAGAAGGGTCTGCTTTTTTCCATCAGCGGGCGCAACTTCTTCAAGTCCCTCCATCCCCCCCCCCCCTTCCCTCTTCTCGGCTTGCGTCCAGTCGGTCGGATAATGTAATGCGCCCTACGGCTCGTGTGGTGAACAAGCTTTCTACATCCCCGGCGCTCCGCTCTGTCTCGTCGGCGCCCGCCTGTACGTAATAAGCTTTTTTTGCTGCTGGCTGTGGCGTAGTAGCGCTTTTTTCAGGCCTTTGCCGACTTAGCACAAAGCCTGTTCTCCCCCAAAAAGGCATTTCGTAGCCGGGGGTCGTGAATGCGGTATTCTGATTCGTGGAGGGCACTGTCCGGCAGCTACGGAGCAACAAAGTTAGGTTTCTACCTGTACGAAGTGTATAGACTTTGTACAAAGTACGGGTTGTAACTTCAACAACGTGAGAAGAGCTGTATTTGCCGTCGGGGTTAGCAGCGGCAACCCTAAGTTCCAACATGTACACTCTAACCCTGATTAATAATGAACGCTCATCTCTCGTCGAGATACAACTACGAGTTGTCCCCCTTTGACCTCGTCGTACAGCCATCTATTCGCGCAATATCAAGCCTTTTATACTTCATTTCACAACAGTCCACCCGTGCGCCACCAACGCCGCAGTCATCACAATAACTATTATACACCTAGTTACAAGGTAGTTATCCGACTAGTTAGCAATACGGCGAGCGTTGCAAGACAGCAAGCCACCAGCCTCAAGGAGACCGTCCCGTCACATACCAGGGTGGCTGCATCTCAGCTTCGCCTCCTTGCCATCTTCCATCACATTGCCCCAACCTGCACGCCACCATCCCTGAGCCGGATTATCGGTACAAAGCTCCTCAACTAATACTCAACTACTGTAACTCTCCGTCCCACCATCCAGTCCAGAGGGATCCCCTGAATTTCGAGTGGACTTGGCCCAGCCGCCCAGCACCCACAGTTTGATCGCTCGAACCCAACCCTTTCTTTGTTCCCGTTGCTTTTTTGACTCTGTACTCATCACACCCCCCCCCTTCACATCCACAACACACAGTCAACACAGGGCTCTCTCCCCCGCGGGTCCCTTGCTTTCCATCGCCCAACTCTAACGAACTAGTAGTAGTTTGTCTTGTCTATCGTTGCCACCACCAAGTAGCAGCATGTACTCCTTACAGGGCGATACAGGCACAGAGGTACCGAGTCCTCTCAGCAACTACCAGTACAAGTCGAATACCTTCAGGAACAGCTCTCTTTCTTCATTACACACCCTCACGCCCCTCGAACCCACCCAACTCTCACGCCTCTTGCTCACACGCCCTCCTCCATCACACTTCTCGGCGCCCTGCACAAACTCTCTCCAAGCTGCACACATATAATAATAACACATGCCCTCGCACACCTCCTTCGCACAAGAGTCAGATCCCATCCCATATTAGTACCTGACTTTCTGTGAATCACAGGGGCCTTTTTTTTTTTTTTCGCATTTACTTTGCATTCTTCGACGCAACCCTTGTCCTCTCTCAGCAGTATATAACGTTGACGCGCTTCCTACCTTGGCTCCCCTTCCTTCTTGACGACATCCTCATCAACATGCCACACCGTCTGCCCGACCCTGCTTCTCTCGTCGCCGGCGTCCCTAGCACCAATTCTGCCTTGTTTCTCAAGATGGGCTCCTCCTCACAGCTCGTCATGTCCGACGTCTCGCAAGCGCTCGAGATTGCGCGCGAGAGCCCTGCCGGCGCCTCGGACCCTACCGTGAGCAAGATCCTCGACCAGGCCATTGCCCACATCTGGAAGAAGATCCAGGCCAAGCCCAACGACTATGTCATGACGCGCGACGAGTTCTCCGTCTTCAACTACTTCCAGCATCGCTTTGCTGGCGACAAGACGGCCATTGCTGCTCGCGCTCGTTTCTGGAACAGCACCAAAGCGTAATAGACTGCGCCGGCTTTCGTGTTCAATTATTGTGGCCAACAAGGCCATCAAACCCGCCCAAAGGCGCGCCACTCCACCGTGCCGCCCATTTACACACAACCGGAAGCCGGCGATTGCTTCCTTGACCCTGACTTGCAACACCATCTACACCATCTACACCATTCTCTTGATTCTGCCCGTCTCAGCTCAGTCTTGGGGGTCCGCAACGTTGCGCCCATCGTGACTCGATACCACGGAACACCCAACGCAACAAGGAACCCCCCACGACGTACTACTGCGGTTGTGGAGCAGGAGAGCCCTCGACAGGTTCAAGGCTGACATTCTTGCTCCTTTTCTTGGTCTCCTGGCACGGCTTCTCCTGCTGCGGCGCCTGGGATATTCGGCCGATCAAAAGTCCACACCACACACAACGAGAAGACCCCCACGTCGTGCCAAGGCCGGTGATGCATCGCCAGTGGTCACCGAGCAAGCAAGCCATGTCAGGAACATGGATGGTGCTGCTGTCAGGGCCGGCTTCTCTCCTTGGATGGATCGGTTGCAACGACCATCCCGATCACCCGAAGCGAACAAGTAACGTCGAGGGAGGTAGCCAGAGAGGCTGCATCCAATAAGCCACCACACACCACACACCACACACCACACGCAACATGACGACCAACTGGGTCGTGGATACAGTCCGACACCCTGGCCTGAACTTCTCACGAGACATGACTGTTATTTCTCCTCTTTTTACAGATTGCATGCACCGCGAGGGAATATACCCCCATCTTTTTCATCATACACCAGACATGTTTGTCTGTCTGTACCTTCTTTGTTCGTTGTACCAAAAGATACATACAGGTATCGGTATCGGAACGCTGGACCAGTGGGGAAAACGGGATTTCGCCATCACACATTACTGGTCAACTGGTCGGCCAGGTTAATGGGGTTAACGGGGTGAATGGTCCTTGTCCAGAGCACCAGCCATCATCCATCCATGGCGAAGAAGAAGAGTCCAAAGAAGCCTGTCAAACTCTAAATGACTGCCCTCCCTTGTGATGTATGCGCTCCGTGCATAATAACCCACACATCCGTCCATTCATGTACAAATGACCGGCTAGGCGCAAGCGAGGACCTGCCTTGTCCTCAATGCACTCCGATGAAACAAAAAACGGCCTGGTTCTCACGGGGGGGAGCCCTCCTCCTTTTGTCCCCATTCTATACCGAAGCTGCATTGTCACTTGTCTGAACCGTGTATGTATTTGAATTCGTACGCTCTGCTCTTCTTGTGTCTATGTATTCCCGAACCAACTTCCAAATTGCACCCAGTCTTTTATCCGCGGTCAGGGTCTGTGCCCCTCCTCTGTCAAATCCGTCAAATCCCAATCTAAAGCCGTTGCATGTGGCACCCACCCCCCCCTTCCCTGCCATGTTACGTTGAGAGCTATTGGCTTCCGTTACATATGGCTTTCGCTTCTCGATGGTAAATTCCCCGCTGATCCATGTCGTCGTCTCTGTTTTTTCCTGGGCAGCCGGCGGGGCGGGCGTGACGATGGCAGGGCGTGTGTATGCAGAACTATGCGGAGGACTATGCGGGAGTACATGTACCTCATTTCAGAAGGGAACCCTGTTCTTTCTTGGTTCTTGTCCTCTTCTCGTTCCCCTTTTGCACCAGTTCAACGGATATCAATGTACTTGCCCCCCAACTACAGTCGTTTCATCAGAATGTCATCCCGCTGAACGACGCTTCCCACCACAAAGTCATGAAACCCAATGGCCGAGTAGCCCAGCTTGGCATACACACTGGCGGCCGCGCTATTTTCCTCCCACACGCCAAGCCACATGTGCGTGAACCCTTCCCCCCGAGCAATGTCCTCGACCGCGCCCGCCAGCCGCCGGCCGATGCCCTGTCCGTGATGTGACAGGTCAACATAGAGCCGCTGCAACTCGACCGATGACGCTGCGTGGGGGAGCGTCGCCACACACGGCTCCGCCGCAGAGGTACCTCGTGTGAGCTGTGCAAAGCCGACGACGACGCCATCCGTCGTCGCACTGTTGTCGCTGTCGTCGCCGCTGCTGCTGCTGCTCCGGTCCGGTCCGGCGGCAATGGAGTCGTGCGACTCGCCGCCGTGCTGAATCGCCACGAGCACATCCTTGGTCGCGTCCTCTACTTCGGCGGAAATGAGCGGCTCCGTGTAGGCAGAATCGAGATAGGCCCGGAGCTCATAGTCGGGCACCGAGTGGCCAAAGGTCTTGGCAAAGACTTTTCGACCAATGCGGATAATGTCCGCCGTTTCCGCCAAGGTGGCTTTGCGGACTTCAATCATGTTGGGCAGTTAGTTGTTTGAGTAGTTATAGCCGAGGGGAAGGCTCTGATGAAATCGCCGAGAGTCGTTGCGCAACTGCACTGCAGCGTTTGGAAAATCCTGGAGCGTTGCGCCCACGTACGATTTTGTATTACGCTGTTGCCCACCGAATTAAAGTTGCTAGCTGGTTAGCGGCCCATGGACGACATGTTCTGGCGCGCCCTATCACGGACAAGCTTTTGCCTAGCCCGTCCCAGAATGCTCCAGAAGTGTAAAGAAAGCCACTGCCCGACAGACATCTGCGAGTGAAAGTCTCGACTTGATACTCTTTACACGAGGATATCACTTTGATTTCAAGACGGATGTGTTCACGCCATGGACAGCAACATTATTAGTACCGAGTACATCACAGACCTTTAGCCAGCGAGCTAATAGCCTATCTGCGGCGTTACCAGTAACTAACGACCAGCGACGCCACCCAGCCAACCAGCGGAGAGCAGTCGTCTAGATTAGGCACGCTCATGGGGGGAGGCTTTCGCTAGTTATGGCTCCATTCAAACCCGGCATCTCAAGAGGCCATGGTTCAGACACTGTCCTCAGTCCAGAATCCCGCCGTCTCTGAGTTTATGCCGCCATCGTCTAGCACGTTTGTGCGGGCGGGTAAAACATTGTCTTGAATCGCGAGTTTGAAAGTCGTGTACATATGTGGGCGCATAGCTGGAATTCTACACCCTATCAAATAAGATTCAATGAGTAAAACGGCTTCAGATATGTCGCGCCCAGTCCTATTCTGCCATTCTTGCCAGCTTCGCGCTAGGGTATCGAGGTGCGACTCGCATTCCCCGGACTTTGTCTTTCCGGGGGCATATACATATAGGCTGTACACCATTTGTCTGGTCTCATGCACGCACTTTAAACTCTATCACCATGGACCAATGCCGCAAGCCAGCTTTATCCGTGTAAGCGCCAGGCTTTGAGTCGCCGGCCAGAAGAGGAATTGTACATGGAACGCGCTACTCTACGGAGAATGACGGAAAGAGTCAACGGCGGTAGTGATCAGCATGTCACGGCAATGTACAGATGTGAATCGACGGTCACTGGTGGCCTCGGATCACTTCTACGCCGACTTCAGATACCCATTCATGCTAAATATGACACTACTCAATGGGAATGACTCCCCGGAGAGGGCCACAGCCCTAGAACAAGGCATGAAGCTTACCGTCTCGGGAAACTTTGCCTTCGAGTACGGTATTGAGGCCCTTGACAAACGCCTCGAAACCGGGGTTTCAGGTAGCGTCTTGCAGGTCACGCGCAAGGTCACAGCCAGCTACTCGTTACCAGAATCATAATGATAAACACCTCGAGCGAATCATTTCATCAAACATGCAACATTGGTCGGCGCGAGCCTAGCTATTTAGTCTGCGACCCCCTTGCTCTAGTTACAGCCGGGACGGGATTGGTCATCAGAACGATGGACCAAACCAGCTTCTCGAACACGTTGGTCGCCGACAACCGTTGGCGTCACAAGGTGGATGAAGGGTAAACTAATTTTTGCTTACCCGGAACCTTGCCGCACCGGCAAAAGCCGGGGATAGGCAGGCGCTCTCCAAGCAAGGGGCATCCCCGTCAGCGCCGGAAATACAAGCGCTGGCAAAATGCGACAGTGGCACCAGTCGGCCGATTTGAGTTTACGATCCAGAGAGGCGTCCAGGGTACCCTGAGGTTTGTCGCTCTCAGCTCCTACTGCACGGCCCTCCTTCACGTACAGGAGAACAAGGAAACGACCAAACGGCGGGGGGGCATTACACTCAGCTCGGAACGGGGTGCTGGGACTAACTACTGCAACGGGCCAGATTCAATTACTTGCGCCCTCTGTATGTATGTAGGGTAAATCGATCGCATAATCGCATGCTCGCCAAGTTGCTGGCTCGCCTATCCCGGTTTCATGTGGGGGTTGCCGCAGTACAATGGCATGGTCTAAAAAACCTTGGAACTCTTGGCTATGCCCAACGTACGAGAAATCAGACGCTTCAAATAAAGGCAGTTGCAGCTAATCCTGCAACACCTTTGCATTGTCTTCAGAGGTTGGCAGAACCTTGCACGCTCGGGGTCGTAAAATGAGTTGGCTTTTGATCAGGCTTGGCCACGGCCCAGCACTGCCATGTTTGAATCGCGTTTCCGCTGTCCTTGTTTCTTGATTGGCGCTGAGACAAAAGCCGAGTCTACGGATGCTCTTCTCAGCCAAATAGAGTTCCGCGGATTGATCATCCAACGGCCCCGAGTTATTGCCACCGACTCACTGACAGCTAACGAACGAACCGTTGGCTTCAACGCTCAGCTTGGACCCCTATCGGCCACATGAGAAATACGGGGAGGGGTTCGGTTCCAGCAGCGTCGATCACTCTTGGCGAAAGATCAAAATGCACGCCCCTCGCTCAGCGAAAAAAAAACCAAGTTGTGTACTTGACAAAGTTGGCACCGGCATCCTGCAATCCCCGAGGAATGAGGCAACACGAGCCGATTCTTCCAAGGAATAGACTTCACATAATCTGTTTTCTCACCGCTGTTTATCTCTACTCATACTCGACAGGCTGAGGTGGTTGTGTATTAGAGCTTCACCTCACATGTGCAAGGAGGAAAACTCTAAAACAGGTGATTCGGTTCCAACTTCCGTATCGGTCCACTTCAGCCTGGTTGCTAATGTATTCCTTTCTCGTGGCAGTCCAAGATGATTCAAGTTGCGGGCGTAGGGGTTCTCATTCCTGAGATGCCCTGTGTCGTCAGTCCATAAGGACACTGCGCCGACTCGATGTTTCGGGAACAGCGAAACCCGACAACCGAACCACTGGCTCCCTATTTTCTGGGGAACTGCTCCTTGTCTCTCTCAGTCACGAGGAAGTCTATCCCGCGTCTGCTCGCTACTGGATTCTAGCTATCATGTTGAGTTATGCGCATACTGCCTTCACTCACACTCGCAGCTCTCTCTCCATCAGACATGGCCAATACCCGCTGACACGGACGGTATTAGGGTTCCAGTTTGCGCCAGGCTCATTCTAGACGTTGGTTGCCAAGCCGGAAATGTCTCGTCTCGAATTCCGACCTTGTGCAGTTCTCCTAACATGACGGCAAAGGCTCCAATTCAAAGTGACACTCGACAATGCGCTTCGTCGCTGGAGGGCTTGGCCGTCGACCCTCTGTCTAACTTTTTATAAACTACAAATGAGCGCTACACTCCTTGTACTGCTCTACGGAGCGCAATAAATCCGGTTCCGTTTGACCACGGTGTAAGTGCGTATTGACATGGCCAATCTTTCGTCGAGCAGCTCAACAAGCTGCATACTTCTCAAGTACTCATGCCAAGGCTTTTGCGGTACAACTTGATGTTACCGAAGCTTCTAACAGTTATCGTTTATCAAGCCGCACCTCTTCTCTGTGGCTCCTATATAGTAGCATTGCTACGTATCGTCTTCAGCAGCAGCAGATATGCCCAGCGGTACCCTATCAGACTAGGTGGGTAGCAGCCACCACAAGGAACTCTGCGCACAAGTCAATATATGGCTCTGAACTTTTTACCAACAATAATTGTCCAAAGAATTGGGATTCCTTCCAATTTTGACTTCTTTTACGTATATCCCAAAGATACTGCCTGGCCGTGGTTTGCCGAGCACGCTTGGCCTCGGTGACGTAATAGGTCGGGCTCGGGAAGCTCCGCAGTCGTCACTTGACACTAGCAAAACGTTGAAAGTTTGAACGTTGCTACGAGCCAATTGGACTTGGAGTGAGGTCATCTGTAGCCTGGCCCAAATCCTTTTACGTTTTCCGGTTTCGAGCCCATCATACTGCGGCCGGATTTGGTGCACTGTACTGTAACACCGACACCACAGCGACAGCTCGTCGCGTAGCAGCCGTTGTCGGGTCAAATTCAGAGGGGCATACTTTGTAACACCTCATCACTGATAGAATATGTAGAAAACCGTGATTCGTCCTTCTTTAAAGAAGAATTCACCTCGTCAGTCTTGGACACAATTTCTAATCATTTCGTCGGCGCGTTTGAAGTGTCCAAGCTGCCCTGTTTTTGCCTTACCCCACAGCTTCCATCGATCCGCATCATCGATATAGCTAACCGCCCAGCCGAACCAGATGCTTTGGGCAGCTTGTCGCCACATCCTCGCATGCGTGAATAACTATTCCTCTTGCACTACATCGTTCCCTCGAAAGCTCTTGCCTCTTCAACCTTTATCGCCTTGACCAAGTTCTTGCTACGTCCCGAAACCAAGTTCTTGCTACGTCCCGAAACCAAGCTCCCCCAACCCGTCACCATGTCGGGCTTCTTCAATCTTATTCTGCGCGTCCTCGCCCTTCTCTTTACAATCATCATCACCGGGCTCATCGGCAACGTCATTGCTCAGGACCGCAATGCCTCCATGTCGGCCAGCGCCGCCGTAAACTTCACCATGTTCGTCGCGGCCCTCTCCTGGGTCGTCTGCCTCTACGGCATGGTGGCTACCGTCATCTCCAGCCTCGGCAAGCCCATTCTCCTCACGGTCCTCGACGGCCTGGGTGTCCTATTCACCCTGATCAGCGCCATCGTCCTCGCTGCAAAAATTGGCCGCACAAACTGTTCCAGCACGGTCGATCGCCCCACCAACTGGATCGCTTACGGCTCCGGCAATCCGGAGCACCGCTGCCGCGAGCTGCAGGCCAGCGATGTCTTCATGTGGTTCCTCTGGCTCACGCTGTGTGGCGGCCTCTTCTTCTCGCTCACTGAGATGCGCAGCCCTATGGGTGCTGCCCGTTCATCCCGCCCAGCCATGTCTCAGGTCTGAGTGCCACCCCGAATCAGTCGGCCATCAGACGTGATGCCCCGTGTAAAACCATACACAGGCGCAGTTCAGTCCCAACTCTCTCCGGTCCAGTTCATTTTATGACTTGCTGTCAATGGCTTTCCCGCGGTAGGCTTACAGCATCTCCTTGCCAATAGCCTGACCTGGACAATGGCGAATGTATGAATTTTTGTATAGAAAATATGCTGGCGTCATTTTTGCTTTGATCTTTAACGCTGTCGGTCTAAATGATGGACTAAATCACTCAAGTTTTAATGTACCTCGCAATCCGCAACGCTATAATTTCATGTCAATATACCAATCACATTTGAACTTGACAAAGCCTTTGCTGAGCTTGACTGATGACTCCGTGGGTAATAAACTCGTCCTTGGACGAATTGAGATTTTTCGCCTTGTGAATATGGCTTCTAACCGAATTGTATAACGACCCCAAACGCCAAAATAGCAAAGGGCAAGCGGCAAAAGTCGTCGAATGCCCCATCAAGTCTGACCGAGAGACACAACGCAATGCATGGGATAAAGATCGCCCAAGACTATAAAGATCGAGCAGCTTCCACCGCACCGACCACGTTGAATGCCTTTTTGTCCGTAAACTTGACCTCGACGTCGTGTGCCCAGTTCATGTATTTAGCCCAGCCTAGAGACCATCAGTTAGCATATCGCGTTCTTCGCCATGGCCGGGACATCGCCCTTGGCAAAGGCTCTCAGATAACATACTCCAGTAAGCAAATTTGCGACCAAAAAACTTGCCCATCCACGGCACCAACACCATGGTGAGCAGCATCTGCACCTGGTCTAGGCTGCGCTCCCACTCTACCTGCGCATCATCCTCTTCGTCCGAGTAGATCTCGTCGGTGGAGAGAGAGGGCAGCGAGTCTAGCTCATCATCCTTCTCTAGCAGTGATGTCTGCGACACCATGTATAACGATTCGTCGGCGGCAGACATGTTGGATGTGGATCGCGTTGAGGGGACGGACGGACGGGGGCGTTCGAGGGATTGCGGCAAAGAAGCCCGCGTCGGACGGGTAAGTCTTCGATTTCAAGGAGTGTCGGATCCAGGAATTGGCGTATGCGAATGCCCTCTTCCTAATGTTGCGCCTTGACGAGTGCGCTCGGTTACAGGACACTGGCGATCTCCTAATGTCGGAGAAGAGATGCATTGCTGAGCGGTTTGGTCCGGCAGTCTGGGGTAGCTCTCTGATGTCGCTCTGTGATTGGTTCAGGTAGTCGGCTGTGGAGATTGTTAGGAACCAGAGCTCAACAAGTTGCTGGAATATCACGACCTGTATTAGCTATATAAATTAACTGCTCGAGTAGACTTCATACATCACCCCTACAATCTCTTTTTTTGGGCGATTTATTCTCGTTGGGTAACTCACGGTAACCATTCTCGTGGTCTAAACAGGACTTCGTAACCAGCCTACCCGGTAGCATGATATGGAAAGGAACTCGCCAGAGTCACCCACACCGTCTCGTTCAATTCGGAGTTACCGCTCTATTAATTATCTACGGCATTCATGTCTCGACCTAATTTTCCAGCGAAGCAAGCCGCGAAGCGCCCACCTTTGTGTGATAACTGAATCATGGTGTGGTACAACAACAACAACGGACACGATGCCTGGGGTATCGTCAACCACCCAGGAGCTTCGTTAAGGTGAAGGTAGCGCGTGTAAGAGCCAAATTTAAACAACAAAGCGGAGCATCCCAGCAGATGTCTTCTAAAACCTAAAGCTTCGAGTTACTGAAAATATTTTCAGCGTCTGTTGGGAGTTCACCTCACTTCGCAGTTCGTCCGTTGTAAACGGCCCCACACGTGACCGGGGTAGCTTCAAAGCTTTCTTTCACAACGGCAACGCTTTCATCCGGTCGCAAACACAATCCACGCTCGAAAACAAACAACGGGCTACTGGCCGAGTCACATCATCTGTTGATAGTCCCTGAACCATGCCCTCAACGTCGCCGGCGCGAGAGCGCTTCCGCTCGCGGTCGCGCTCACCCGCCCCGAACAATCAGCACAACACGCGGTCGCGCTCTCCCTCCCGATCGCGCAGCAGATCGCCCGTGCCGCCACGCAACGGCGGCGGCGGCGGCGGCGGAGGCCGACATCGAGATGACAGCCGTGAACGCAGCCGAAGCCATAGCCGAAGCAGAAGTCGTAGCTACAGCCGCAGCCGCAGCCGCAGCCGCAGCTACAGTCGCGGGCGCAGCTATAGCAGGAGCCCGAGCCGCCGCAGCGACAGCCGCAGTCGGAGAGGCAGCGAGGGGCCACTGGCGAAGAGCACAAAGGTATGTTTCATCTCGAGGAATCTGTCAACATTGTGGGTTGGGACGCCTTGGGCTAACCACCAAGACGTAGATTGTCGTGGAGCGTTTGACCAAGACCATTAACGAGGACCATCTGTACGAAATCTTTGGCAAGTTCGGTCGCATCAAGGACCTCGACCTTCCGGTCAACCGGACCTGTACGTTTATATGTAGTTTTTCGCTCAAACGTTGCTGATACTAACAAACGGACAGACAACACAAACAGAGGCACCGCATATATTCTGTATGACCACGAAACCGACGCCGAAGCCGCCATTGCCAACATGCACGAGGCTCAAGTCGACGGAGCCACCATCAACGTCTCCATTGTCCTTCCCCGGCGCAAGCTCTCCCCACCGCCGCCGACCGCCCGACGCGGCGCCAACATTGACCCCCGCGTGCCCTACACAGGCGGCGGGGGGCGAGGCGGCGGCGGCGGACGACGTCGCGGAGGCGGCCCGCCCATGTCTCCATTAGGAGGAGGAGGAGGAGGCGGTGGCCGGTACGGACCTCGCTCGGATGTATATCGCCCTGGAGGCGGCTCATCGCGCTCCCAATCCCCGCCGCCTGCGCGGGGCGGTGGCGGTGGCGGCGGCAGATACAGGAACCGTTCACCAGCGTCGTATTCGTCCCGGTCGCCGCCGCCCCGAAGAGGCAGTGGCGGCGGCGGCCATGGCCGTCGGAGTCGCAGCATAGACGCCCGTGATGACCGCAGCCGAGGCGGATATTGAATTGGATCGAAAAAACACGTCCCGGGCAGCATCTGACATGGCCCGTAGGACGAAACTCACAAAAATATTTGCTTTTACTTGGAAAGGAGTCTTGAAAGATATAAACGACGCGAGGAATTGGCAGACTCTCCTGGCGTTGGGGTGATTTTATTATGGAAGGCGACCGACCCTATGGCAAGAAACGAGGCAGTGACTGTTTTTTTTCTCTCTATTTATGGCTAGGAAATGGCGCGAAGACAATGAATCCATGCTTTGGACCCTATAAAACTCATATACCATCGCAGACGCCCTTGATAAACATTGCTGTCACTGCTTCAGCGAAACCCACGGAGATATCCAACTACATGGACACAGGATGTGCTCATTATTATACTAAATTAACCAACGCCACAGCATGTCATAATTCATCTACGCTTGTCTCAACCGGAAGAAAAAAATCCGCGCTACAGCAACAAGCCAGCACCGAGGACACCCAGGGCCGCCACGGCCGCGCGGGCAGTCGGCGCCGGGATGCCGGCGTTCTTGCTCGACGTGGACTTGCCGGCGGCGGACGTGGTGGTCGTGGTGGGGGACGCGGCAGCGCTGCTCGTGCTGGTCGGGCAGTCGGTGGTGCAGGGCAGCGCCGACGCAAAGGGGTTGCTGACGACACTGACGGGGAAGGCGGGCGCCTGGGTGGCGAGGCTGGGGTCGGGCGCGGCGGCCGGGGCGTCGGGGTTGAGGACGTCGGCGATGAGGTGCATGATGCCGTTGGCGATGAGGATGTCGGGCTGCACAATCTGCGCCGCGTTGACGTACTTGCTGTTGCCGGCCTGGCGCACCGTCAGGCCCGGGCTGCTGCTGCTGTTGGCAGCCGTCTCACCGCCTGAAGGACTCGCGGTCGTCAGCAGCACGCTGCCGTTGGTCAGGTCGGCCGAGGAGAGGATGCGGCCGGGCACGACGTGGTAGCCCATGACGCGGGCGAGCGCGGCCACGCCACCATCACCACCGGCGGCGGCCAATTTCTGCAGCGACCCGCCGACGAGGGCCATGGCGGCGTCGCGCGGCGCAAACACGGTGACGTTGGGCCGCTCGTCGACGGCGGGCATGAGGCGGGCGGCGTAGAGGGCGGCGACAAAGGCCTGGGCCTGGAAGGCCTCGGCGGTGGCGCGCAGCGGGGCGGGCGGGATCAGCAGGTTGTCGATGACCTGGATGCGGCCGCCCTCAAAGGCAATGTCGCGGGCGACGACGGTGCAGCGGGTGCCGAGGCTGCTGGTCAGCACGGCGGCGTCGCCGGGCTGCCGCGTGAGCAGCACGTGCTGGCCGCCGGTGACGTTGGCGTAGGCGGGCGCCGTCAGGAGCGTCGGCTCGAGGTAGGTCGGCCCCGTCTCGAGCTCCCCGATGGTGATGCTGCCCCGGATGACGTGGTACTGCAAAAAGGCCGTCGTCTTGGCCTTGTCGTCGGGGTCCCAGACGCCGTTGAGCGACGTGTAGGGGATGTTTTGAAAGGCCTTGTCCGACGGCGCGCAAATCTGCCAAGAGAGGGGGACCGGTTAGTTGGGTTCTCTCGCTGAGTGTGTGCGTGCGTCGTTGTTGCAGGTTTGGCTTACGGTGACGCCGTTGGAGCTGGGGAGTTGCAAGAGCACATCCGAGTTATTCTGGCTGATGGTTAGACATTGGTCTTGAGCAGAAGGAAGCAGGGCATACTTTGATCAGGTCGTAGAATATCGTGAGGTTTTGCTGTCTTTGGAGGACAGCACCCAAGTCATTGGAAGAGACGGCCAGCGTTGTCGCGGCCAACAAGGCCAATGGCCAACCAACAAATCGAAGCATGTTGCAATGTCAGTTTCCGACTGTTCTCGTCAACCAGTTTGCCGTGGTTTTCTTGTGACAAGGCGTGTTTAGAACGGCTCGAGAGACAGAGAAGAGGGCAGGGCCACTGGTGCCGGCCGCAAGGTGAACACGCCGAGCCTTTGTAATGCTGGGGGAAGCCAGGCCACAGCGCTGCCCGTGTGTGCCTGTGTAATCTATCGCGACGAGACACAAACGCCCGCGTCGACTGTCCGGTATCGCGGCGTGTGCGGTGAGACCCCAGGGGGGGGGGCGGGGGTTCGTTCTGTCTCTGCTGCTCCCAAGGCTGCGCGCGGGGACACACAACAGCAGATTTATGCGGCGGCGCCAGAGGTTCGTTCCTCTTGGGCTGCGCACCTGTTGCTGCGACGTCGCAAAGCGGTTCTTTGGTTTGCGTGGGCTTGCGAAACAACGAGCGCAGCGAAACCCGTCAAGCGTTTTTCTTTGTTCAGCTCAAAAAAAAAAGAAAGAACCTCGTCGAGAGTCAAAGAGGAAAAGCGGTTCTCAAAGCCCCCTCGTAGAGTACAAGGACTTCCTTCACGACAAGGTAGAGCAAGCTCAGACACGCATGCGACTTGTTCCCTACCGCCTCATGTTGGCTTCATTTGTTGTCGGAAATCGCACCTCCTCATTGGCTGAGACCAACTTTGACCGCCCAAGTCGACTTTTTCCCTCCGTCGTATGGAGCCAAGACAACGAGGGACGCAGATCGGGGTGGCCTGACGGGAACAGGCTGCGAGGGGGGGTCCGGCGTCCGCTGTTACAGCATAGGTCGAACACGAAGACCAAAAAAATAAATAAGGGATCGGCAAGATACGAGGCAAGCCTCGGCGCTGCGCAGGGGCATGGTGGCTTGCATCTGCTGTCGTTAATTCGTACACGAAGGAAGGAAGAAGAGCATATCCGAAACACCATGACGAGAGAAAGAGCGTATTTTTTTGCTTTTAATTAATTCACCTTGCGTAATTGCACATGGCCTTGTTGGGGCTTGAGACAACGGGTTTGACGCCGTGGCAGCGGCACTTCCCGAGCGTAGATCGGGGCCGGCACGGCCAGCTGCCTGTTTCGGCATGCAATGGGGACTTGTTGAAAGCGCATATATCGACTTTCCTCTCTTGTTATGGCGATGCGATTGAAAACGCGGGCGGTCCCGTCAATATCGTTTTCCGTCTCCAACTCGAATACGGGCTGCTAGGTTGTTTGTAGCACCACCGCACCGGTTAGTCCCGGCCGCACGATGGCGCAAACTGTATGACAACAATGAAGTCGCCGTCATAAATCGACGACACATGCAGATGCCCCATCCCACGGCCAAGGTATCATCAGGTATGTTCGGTCCCAAATGACGCATTCTGTGTTCAGATGGAGCGTTTCATTGTCCCACCAGGTCGGGCTTTCATGCACCACCCTCCATGCGCTCCTTGTGCACACCATGGGCAGCTTGCATCAAGATCACAATCATGGCTTGAAGGATGAGTGGACGAGTCGTCCATGGGGGTTTGAGAATACGAGCGCCGGATTCCTGCAGTCATGGAACAGACGGCAGGGTTGGCCAAAGGCAACATGACAAAAATGGCGCAGCCAACCAACTACTCCGTACGAGTTTCCAAATCAACAAAAATAAACGACAGCAAAATGAACGAAGCCAGCGAGATAGTACATGTACACCCCCAATCACACGCTTTTGCAGGCACATGCATATCAGCCAGCTGTTATCATTGTCCGACAACCGACCTCAGTTCTGGTCCGGCCCGTATCGGGCCCTCTCTGCGCATCAACGAGGGGCCAACACGGCTGTATTATGCGTTGTACATATTACCAGCCTTATCTGTGTTCCCACAACATGGTTCCAGGGTTTCGGCTTCACAAAAAAGCCTCAAGATTCGAGGCGTGAGTAGATGAAAACCCATGCATTTGAACAGCCCAAGTCCCACCACTGCAAAGCCCGCATACACGCATGGCCTGGACCAAGCACGTTTTTCTCAACACCATTTGCGTTTCTGCCCCAACCCAGGGCTTCCCCTGTCATGAAGCTGAATTTTTTCCTTCTTCTTATTTGATAATAGTAGTTAACTTTTTGCGTGGCTGGTTTGTGTGCATTAGTGTGTCCGAGTGCTTGCATATACGGGACGCTTGGCTAAAGTAAGGGCCGGTGCAGCCTGCCCGTTGGCTCGTCTCAAGTCTCAACTAGTGGATATGCAGCCGCCTGCTGTTATTTCCATGGTTGCATTTGCCTATGAAAAATGAATAACTAGAGAGGCTACAGCGTAAGTGTACAAGATCAGAGGAGGAGGGGGAGGGTTCAATTGGCGATGGCTATCCTTGGACCAGACCACTTATCACACCTTTCAATGACGCAAGGCTTGAGTCACCTAGTCTCTGGTATTTGAGAAACATTTGTAACCGCGCCCTTGCACTACTATCCCAGGCATATCAACGGTCCGATTGGAAAAAACTTGCACACGGGCTTTCCCACGAGGCAGTCACAATGGCGCGAGTGCGTCCACTTTGGGCCCGAAGTCCAAGACTTTCTCCGCTGATACGGGTAGACTAGCCACTGTCCTCAACCCAATCCTTCGGTTGTTTTGTTCTAGCGGCCATGAGTCGCCACCAACTGGAGAGACAACGCGTACCAGTCATGAACAATAACCATGTTGAAATTCTAGGGGTTGTCGCAGTACTATGCCGCTGTATGAGAACTGAAACGGAAATGTCATGAAACAGACGGGCTTGATTTATTGGCGACAAATTGAACTTGCCTGCCTTTTGCCCACAATGGAGACTCTGTAAAATAGCAACGGGGCTAGCATCAGATCCTCTCCAGAGTCTTGCACTCGATTTTCCAGACTTGGCATATTTCAGCTTGCTCGGTATCAGACTGACCGAATCAGCCCTAAATCTATACCAAGGTCTGTTTAAAGTCCGATGCTTAAACTTTGTGCAGCGTCGAGTCCTCGTCGTAAGGTTTGCTTGCATTATGCCGAGTCGTAGGCGGACCCATATGCCACTTGTCATGATCTCGATACACTGCCCCTCTGGAGCCAGGCCGGACATTCTCCGTAGCGACAGTCTCCGTTGATTGTCGGTTCCTTGGCCAGGTATTCTTTATATGTGGAAATCGGCGTTTTGTCTCTTTTATGATGAGAATATCCCCCATCGGACAGAGGTGAAGCTTCAGCTGTAGCGTGGCTAGTGGATCTAAATGGAAGCCCGCTAGAAAAACTTGTTGTGCCATCACCGAAGGTGGGCAACGGGTCGCTTAGCTGTACCATGAGTACTAGTGTTATCAGAGATTACGGGCCAGAATGTTATTAATCTCTTCTTGGCGCCTTTCCGCTCTGGCGGAAATCATACCGAGCATCACCAACCAGGCATGGCGAGGCTTTTTTAAGTTGCTTGTCGGATAAGCTCCTCGCTACGCCATTTCAAGTTGTCATGCAGGTACTGCAGGTGAGGGCTGGCCATTTCATCAGTTTTTGCTGTGGCTGAGCACGAGTCTGGGCGTAATGTTGATTAATGCAACGCTGTGCTGGTGGCTGGCTGGTAAACCTTGTGTGGCGTGTCCAACGTGTTGGTACGCGTGGACGGGAAACGAGTTGATTCGCCTGTCAGGCAGTATTATTAGTGTCGACGGTTGGACGGGTTCTTGACATGTGCGCCATATTCTCTGGGGCAGTTAAAATGGATTTGCGTGGCGCTTGAGTTTCCCGAGGTCTTGATCCTTTTCGCCTTGTTTCAAGGAACTGCATTGCCAAAGCGTCGGCGGCCGGGAGCCGAGTGGCGGACTTTGCAAAGTCATCGTGTCAGGTCAGCTCGTTGTCTGTGCTGAGCTGTCATCGAGGCCAACAAACGACCAAAGCACAACAGTAGGAATCAAGATGGCGGCTAGAAAGGGCCGTTGGGAGGATTTGCGACGCATTGAGCGGTCAGCTATTAAGCTTCGGCAATCAAAATAAAAAAGAATGCGACGGAATGTTGCAAAACGCAATGCCATCGTCTGATGTTGGAGCTGTGCTGGCGAGGCGAGAATAGAACAATGTATGGGCCGAGTAAGGTTTCTGGTAGAAGGGAAGAGGAGCAAGAGGGGATGGGAGAGAATGGGACAAGATGGAGAACGGGGGCGTGCGTGGCTGAACAAGGTCAGGGGAAAGCGAGGGGGTGTGAATGTAAGAAGCCACGGCGTTTCTTCGCCTCCCTAAAAAGGCAAGAAAAATTTTGGCCCTGAAAAGCCACAGAACTAGTACCAGGGGCACCAGCCACACTTGATGCCGCTTTTCGAGCAATCCCGAGCTGCTGCTTTTACCGACCGACCAAGCTGAGTCTAGGCGAAATGACCAAACCAGGCAATGGAGAATTAATTATTTTAGCGCCGTGTCTACTGGTAGTTGTTCATCTGCGCTCCACCTGCCCAGAGGCTGGTCCTTGCCCAGCGCTACTGAGATTCTTATGCACGGCTTGAGCGGATCATCATGGTCTCTTCGCGCTGAGCTGAGCTCCAGGACCATGGCTAGGTGTCGGGTTGCCATGCTTCCGCTCTGGTTTGACGAAAAGGGCCGCGGTTCGAGATCTGCTAGCTGCGTTGCCTATTCTTGACCTGGATCATCGCTGACCGAGGGACCATCGAGTCGCCCGGCCTGTCAAGGGGGTCTGGCGCTTACAAGATGGATCGGCCTGTTGCAGAGCCGGCACGAGCGGCCGACGGGCATGCACAGATGCAGTAGTAGGGTCCGTTGAAGATTTTTTTTTCTCTCTCTTGCAAACAAGATTTGGGATATGCTTGCGAACAGAAGTCGAGGCGAGAGTCAAAAGTTGGCCCTTAAATGGCTGTGTTATCAAGTATCCGTAGAATTGATGTGATGTTATGGAGACTGAGTACTCCATACCGGTACACGAGGTGCAGCTGGGCGTGTTAGCTGCAGCCCGGCGGCGACAATGCAGAATTACTATCCCTACACAGCTCGACAGGGTGTCGATGGAGATATGTGGAGGAAATCCATGCAGTCTGTCACTGTATTGAATGGGCTGATAGCCATGGCTTGAGCTGGGACCGCCCCAGAGACGAGATAGCAGCCGGCGGCTGTCCAGAGCAATAGGCACACCGATATGATCCATGCAGGCATTTCCTTTTTACAAGGCCCTCCTGGCAGCCGAGATCGATAAGTGACAAACTGTCACAGAGTGGTCCGGCGGCGGGCCGGGGTCACTGCGCCATCGTATCCGGTCCGTGGAAGCCTGACCGCAGGTGGAAAACAACGGACGGCAGCCGGTAACTAGTTAGAGCGCGTGCACGGTACGGGTTGGGGTAATATTGGTTGAGAAATTACAGGGCTGTTTTAGTTTATTAACTAGCTATCGTCAAGACGCAATCATGTCGGAGCACATGGGCAGAGGACGTGCGTGAAGGTTGTCAAGGCGCCGTGTGCGCATGCGCCTGGGTGCAGCCAGCAACACTATGGTCTTGGTAGCGGACAGCCCCTAACTAGAGGACCAGGCGCGGTTTCGTCAGGACTTCAGGTAACTAATGAATGGGTTGCAGTAACTAGTTACCGCCGCACCGGGCTGTCCGTCTCTGTACCAAGAACGTCTGTCGCATCGGAGGTCCCGCTGTAGCAGGGTAGCTGGCGGTTGGGGAGACTCGGCCGGTAGTGGCTCCGTGTCGACCCCGTCATGCGTGGGAATAGTCGTTTGGGTTCTCTGGCTGCGACTGGTTAACCTGGTTAACTACCACGTTGCTTGATAGCAATGGCATGGGTGATTCCGAGCAACAATGTGTGTATGGTGATGGAGTGGTGATCCAGATATGGCGCAAGCCCACTCACTGTAGAGACGGTGCCTAGCCGCCCGCAGACAGCGCCAGAGTCTTTTACCTCTCAGTATTACGGGGCACTACCAGCTTTGGGGGCCCCTTGATAGGTGCCCGAGCACGATGGACCTTTGCCGGTGCATGCTTCGCGCTGGACAAAAGCGTACGGACGGATACATTGAAAAATAAAAATAAAAAACAAGGCCAAGAAGTTGGTAAAAAAAGCGGCAGAGCCGGGCATCCCCGCTGCGCCCGCTGCGCCCACTGAGTGCCACCACCTCCCGTGTCCTGGACTCCTGCGCTATTCATACAGTGGATGTACCAAGGCACCTCTGGCTGGCGCACCTGAAATAGGTACCTAGTTATCTTGCCACACCACCTCAGCTTCCTAGCGCCTCCAACCTATCTCTTGTACTAACACTCTTCCACGACTCTCTCTCAGCCATCTTCATCCAATTCTGCCCTCGTCCGTCTGCAACCGATTCAATTCTCGCTTTGGACCTTGCGTATCGGCCGGTTAACAGAGAAGCACCGTATCATTATACTCATTCGTTCCATCGTCAAGTCGACCGTTGCACAGACAACTCTGCCCTGCAGCTGCACTTCGCGCTCAGCGCCAGCTTGAGCTTCGCAAACAGCGCCCACCAGCTTGCTCTTTCCGATTGCATTGCCCTGCGCCGCCAGCTTCTTTCCCCTCCTACTTTTCCGCATCCATTCATTCTACATCTTCTCTTCTACACAGCTCGGCATGGATCATCAGCAACACGACCGCTACGCCGGTAGCTATAATAGCCCCAACGCCCAACCCTACTCGGGCAACGTCTCCTCCAACATCACACCTCCCCGATCAGGAACGCCAAACACTGAAGGTGGTCCCAACCCCTTTGGCGATACTCCCGAGCCTGTCGCCAACCAGCGCCTGGCCGCCACCACTGGCACCAACCCCTTTGTCAGCCCTGCCGTCTCGCGGCCTGCCTCCAGCTTTGGCTCCTCCAGCGCCATTGGGCCGCGATTTGAAGAGCGCGCCCAGCGCTACTTCCACTCGCGCCGCGTGGCCAAGGGTGACGTTGAGAAGCCCTGGCTGGAGAAAAAGGACAAGAAGGAGAAATGGGTCACCATTATTCCCGTGATTGGCATCCTCGTTGGTCTCGGAATCTCTGGCTTCCTAGTCTGGGATGGTCTCCGCAGTGTCATCCACCACAAGTACTGCCCGCTCATCGATGACAACTTCGACAATGGCTTCGACAGCAACATCTGGTCCAAAGAGGTCCAGGTCGGTGGATTTGGGTACGTTTTTTTTTGGTACCATATTTGGATGAAGTCTTTGCTAACGTTCCTAGTAACGGCGAGTTTGAAATGACGACTCCTGGTGACGAAAATGTCTACGTTGACGGCGGCAACCTCGTAATCAAGGCCACCCTCCAGGATGCCGACAAGATGGAAAAGACCACGACCATTGATCTCCTCAAGGATGGCACCTGTACCTCAACCAACTTTTACGACTGTGTGGCCGTCACCAACACGACGGCCGGCAACTCGAGCGTGGTCCCACCCGTCAAGTCTGGTCGCATCACCACCAAGAAGGGCGCCACCCTCAAGTATGGTCGTGTTGAGGTCACGGCCAAGCTCCCTCAAGGCGACTGGTTGTGGCCTGCCATTTGGATGATGCCAGTCAAGGACACGTACGGACCGTGGCCTGCTTCGGGCGAGATCGACATTATGGAGTCGCGCGGCAACAACTGGACGTATGCGCAAGGTGGCAACAACATTGTCTCGTCGGCCCTGCACTGGGGCCCTGATCCTGCCAACGACGCCTGGTGGAAGACGAACAACAAGCACAAGATTCTTCGGGGCAACTTTGGCGACGACTTCAACACATTTGGTATGGAGTGGTCGCAAAAGTACATTTTTACCTACGTCAACACGCGACTGATGCAGGTGCTCTACACCAACTTCAACAAGCCCATGTGGCAGCGCGGGGCTTTCCCTCAGACGACGGGCAACGGCACGCGCCTGGCCGACGTTTGGAGCCAGACGGGGCGCAAGAACACGCCATTTGACCAAGACTTTTACCTCATCATCAACCTGGCTGTGGGTGGCACCAACGGTTGGTTTGAGGACAACAAATCGCTCAAACCGTGGGTCAATGGCTCTCCCAACTCTAAGAAGGACTTTTGGAATGCCCGCGAGGACTGGCAAGCGACGTGGAAGCAGCCTCAGATGGAGATTAAGCGGGTGCTGATGCTGAAGCAGTGCGACGGTAACGAGGAGCTGTAAAACTGGACTGGCTGTTGATTTCTTTTCTGCATTTACTTGTTGCCATCTATCACTATAATGTTGAGCAAGTCTTTTGTTTTCTTTATTTTCTTTATTTAGTGCATCTTTATTAGACGAGATGGTATCATAGACATGAGGATGGGGCAAGTCATTTTGGACAGTTGAGTGTCGTAATCATTTGGGCTTGGGCGCAGGGACACGTAAAATGTTGCTGTTCGCATTATTGGTCGCACTTTTTTTTTTTAAAACTAGCATTCACCAATTGAAAACATGTCGAGACGAAAAAAAATCATCTGAACGGGTCGTCTAAAATTAGCCACTATGTATGTACGAATAGGATGATGCGACTCTTTCAGACGATGGAAGTGCCGTTGTCTCACCTCGGCTGGTGACGGTGAGAGGGTGAGAGGGTGAGAGGGTGAGAGGGTGAGAGGGTGAGAGGGTGAGAGGGTGAGAGAGGCGACTACAGTAGGTAGCAAAGTAGGTGGCCGCTTCTTTCTTTTCCTCGGTGAAACATGGGATTTTCCCTCTGAGTTTTTTCGCTCTTTTCCCCTGCGGCGCATGGTGCTTTGGTGACAGAGTTTACAAGAAACGCTATGATCTTTATGCGCTCTCAAGCTTCAAGCCCCCCCAAAAAAACCTCGGCGCCCGTCTCATTACTCGGTTTGTGGACCAGCCACGAAACCCTATTCCATTGGCTCTTTGTTGGCTTCTTCAGAGCTTAAATTTTTTTTTTCCATTTTTTTTTTTTGGATAAACAATTAAACGGTTTTGAGTTGCATTACCCGGTTTTACCCGCTTCAACGCACTGGGAGAAGGGTTCGGTGTGTATCGCGCCGTGTGTGTGTGTGCGTTGCGGGCGGCGTGAGCGGCGGTGGTGGTGCCCGAGCTCGTTTTCAGAGCTGAGAAGGGTATATTTCTGCCAACTATTGGTTCCTATTGCTTCCGCATCTCTTATTAGGCGCACTTGGGGTGTTTTTTTTTTCCTTTCTATTTCTGTATAATTACAAGAGTAACAATTGTAGGGCTGGCAGGGGGGGGAATAATCTACACCACAGGCAGGGCTCCCCTTCGCTTGCGATTTCTCAAGTGGGCAGGATTCCGAGCCCATCTGGATGCGCCCGCACACACAACAAAGCGCAGCAGAGACCATGTCTCGCCAACACGCACCGCGCGCCGCATCTATCTGCCTAATAGTGGTTTCATTATTGCTTTTCTATTGAGAACTCGTCAACCCCCTCCCCCCCCCCTTCTGTCGTTGACAGGGGGGGAGAGAAGCTAGCTTCAGCTGCAAAAGCCCTGCAAGGCGGTCCAACGTGGTTCCTGCGTAGAGTTCAAAACTACTGACGCCCCTCGTTTCTCTCCGAAATCATGTCAGAGCAACGGGCAGGCAAGGTTGGATGTTGGCTGTTCGTCGGCTGATGGGGGGGGCAAAGCAGTATACCTGTTCCACGACTTGGCTGTTGGTGCGAGGACAAGTTTACTAGGCAGGGCGCCAGCTGAGCACGGCTGCCTGCTTCACAAACTCAACATGCAACTACTTTTGGTACCTGGTAGTGGCCTTGCGTCGTTGTACAATCATTGGGGTTCTTTGAGTACGATTCGCAGTCCTCGCTTGCTTCTTTTCATTGGCTTGGCTTTTGGCGGCTTGTGTAACCATCACCGCCTGTCCACCGTACCACAACCCCGTTCGTATTGCATTGTGGTCCATCATGGCCACATGGCTTCCGATGTGACACGAAAAAAAAACAAATGATGCAAGCTTTCTTTGCTGCTCTTCTCTAGTCATCTTTTTTTTTTCTTTCGCATGTAATAATGACAATTTCCACCCCGCTGCCGGCGCAGGCCAAGAATCGGAGGCGGGTCATCCGAGATGTAATCTGTAACTACAACTTTTGTCATATGATACTCATCTTCCCCAAGACGACCCGTTGAAGCCGAAAAGAAAAAAAGCGACAAGACGGGTATGCCACTGGCGAGCGATGCAGCTCTTGGCGAACCATTGCACTCCGGCAAGCCTTTCCCAACCGCAGGCCACGCGTCGCCTTTCTGTGCAGAGCCCATCATCGGCCCTTTTTGCCCGCTTGGCGCCGCTTCAACCCTCTCGCAGCCCGTCATGAGGAGACCGACTTCAGCTTCGTCCGTCTCTGAATACTTGCCTCATATGTACATAGTTAGCCATTGTCACTTTTCGACGCCAAGAACCAAATTTTAATACAGCACCAAGGCGTCGGGCTGGCACACGGCTTTTAGCTTGCAGAGATAGTGTCGCGGCCGGCCCCCGCCGTTCCCGAGATTGCGTTGTCTTTTTGATTACAGGTGACGCTTACCGTAGACTATTGAACAAACTTGAAGCCTTTTTTGCCGGGGGCGGAAGAGGCCTCTGTCGCCTAGTTATGTACCTTCTCCTATGTAGTTACTTGCATGAGTTGAGGCCATGGAACTGACCCAGCATCAGTAGCCAAAAATGTCTTATCCTCAAGGCTGAGGACTAGAACCACTGTGGCCACCAAGCCCTACCCACTCAACATCCTTTGTCAGGGGGTTTTTTTTTTGATATGCCAAATATCACCATTCTGGTCGTTAGAGCAAGCGGACAAAAGGATAAGAAGAAGCCTCTTGGAGCCCGGAGTAGACGACGCAGTTACCGAAGCATATGACTCGACGAGGCTTGTATCCGCTCCACGGCTGTTGTACGTGACATGCAAATTGCACCTCTTTTGCCACCTGATAGTATACTTGATCACTCTTCAAATCTTTTCTGCTTCTCAGCTCCACGCCACGCAAGAGGGACAGTTGCAGTCTCATCGAAGGCATCTGGGCATAGTCCCAAGTAGGAAGGCAACTCCGGCCAGTCCAGGCGGAGCGCCGGAACGGGCGATCTCTTGCGTTCTGACATCTTCTCGGGATGGGGGGGCGTGCACCTTCAGCTGAAGTTGATGACGTGCGCAAGGCTGATGCTCAATATTCATGGCCAAGAGAAAGCAAGGCTCGTGTAACCGGCATTTATTTCGAAATCTTTTGGTAAACTTGTGCTGTGCATCATGCCATCACCAATCACCATCCGTGTGTGTGGAACTAGAAAAGTAAGAGGTTAACAAAGAGTTGAAAAATGACAAACGTTATTCGGAGCATACTGATACCGCATGATGCGATATAGCGAGTGCCAATACATCGGATGAATGGACATGCAAGCATACCAGTAATTTGTACTCCGTACAGGTTACAGATTACACGCACCTTGATATCAACTCAAAGGCTCCATCACTGCCACAACGAGGTGTCGTTCAGCTAGTTAGTCTCTGGTGTGGCTTGAGACATGGCGACGCCATCCCGGCCAGCGCAACGACTCTTCCATATCGGATGTCGAGCCCTGAGCCGCCCGGTCAAAAGGCCCCCCTTGCGCCCCTATTGGGTGCGCCTCCTTGTCTGCTGTGGCCATCCGTTCCCAGCCTGTTGTGGTGTTTTTCCTTTTTTCTACAACTCAATCTCTGTTGAGACAGGGCTTTGGTTCAGCGCCTCAGCCCGCCCCCACGCTTCGCGTTAAAAGAGCTACCTTGCTATTTTTGGTGGTAATAAGAGATATGGTGAAAAAGCGGTATAGGCGTATAATACGAGCTGAAGCTGGTGAATGCAACAGTGTGGGGGGGGGGGGGGAGGAGCTGCCCGCCAACAGTACACGAAAGCAAATCAACGACACCCATGTGTGCTTTCTGCCAGTCGCAAGGCTTGGCGATTATCAGAAGAGATCGGTCTGGCGAGACACGGTGATGAGGGCCGGGCCCCCGTTCCGTCCTTGGACGCTAGCCATGGGCTGTTGTCTGTGGCGATCCGGCCTGATCCAGGCCTGGCAGGAGTGCCAAAAAAAAAAGAGAGACAGGGTCGCCATTGTTGGGAAAATGATGGTCGGCAATTGGCCTCTGGTAAAGCACCGGCACGAATACCCTTGATCGAGCATAGAACAACGTTCTGGGCGCTTTCCGAAGTCGTTCTCGTGCAGCAACTGCAAGCAAAAAGCCTTGTGATGACTGCAGGATAGATGAAGTTGCACTGTGCAAGGTTACATTTGCCACGCGCCACCATCACCGCCGTCTTGTATGCGGAACGAGCCTTGTATCGCCCGGCGGCTCTGTCAAAGTTTTCGTCTGCATCTAACTAATCATTTGCAATCGGTGCTGTGCTGGCAGGCAGGAAAATGTGCCGGCCTCGCCCGACTGCAAGGCTATTCGTAATCTGCCAGGGGTGTCGTGGCATTGACGACAGGCCCATGTCTAGTTCGTGGTGGACCGTGCAGAAGAGCCCCAAGATGGAAAAAAACAATGGGAGAAGAAGATAAATACGCCATTATGCGAGATAAGAGCTGCGCCATATCATCTTTGACTGGCAAGCCTCAACGGGCTATTCTTGCTTGGTCTTATTACCATCCATGCATGTCACAGCTAGCAAGGTGTGCGCTGGTGTGGTTGTTGGGCGTGTGAGAAGCTAGGCATGCGTGGCTGTACCAGGTCCAGTAGACGCCAGGGTGCATCCAAGAGCTGCCTATTATGTCGTCCAGGATGTTATCAATCCATTTGACAACAGCTGTGGGTGGTGGATGTTTGCCCATGCATGGCTCTCCCCTGCGAGCTGAAGTGCGAAGTGCGTGCTTGGCTTTTTGGTGCACATTGCAGCGCGGCCACGGGGCGACTTGTTTGGTAGTTGGTGCCTATTCTGGCGTTTTCACGGTTGAATGTCAAGGTTCCAGAATCCGGGTGTCCAGATGGCAATGTGTGTGTGGCGGCGTGCATGGCTGGCGAGGCTGACGATGCCAGCTGCCAGCTGCCATGGCCATCCCATCTCGGTGCCGCGGATCGTGTAACATTGACCATGTAAGCGAGCAGGGTGAGCAGTCTTTGATCTCATGGTCATGGCACGCGCAGAAGATACTGGCCCAAGCTTGTGCGAAGCTTGGATCTTTGTCTAGACGATGGCACGTGGCAATGAGCAGGCCAACCGCAAACGATGACACGATTGGCGAAGGAGCGTTGAAAACAAGATGAAAGAAACTTGTTGCAGCCCGAAACAAAGAGTATCTTTGCTGGACAAGGTGAGACGGGATAGAGGCGCAGCGGAGTTTGAGAGAAGAGTGCTAACACAGTCCTGGCGTAGTCCGGTGGTGGGAAGAAACTAGCATCGTGATGATATTGACCTGACTCTGTAATAGAAGGGAAAGGGGAAGAAGAGGAGGTCGAGAGCAGCTGTGGCGCAAGCCAGCCCATAAAAAAGAAAGTGCCGCCGCTTTAAGAGCGTGGACAAAGTTGCCAGGTGAGGGTCCAACCACCAGCCACAGGTACACAAAATCTAAAACGCAATCCCAGCAGCCTGGTCGACTGGGGTCTGGCGGGACAGTAAACCGCTGGCCGGCGCGGTCTAGTAGTAGTACGGTGGGTGATTTGATTTTCATTATTGGCCATTCTGGCTCGCTAAAGGCAGAGGTCCAGTGAGCGGGAGAGTCGGCGGCTATTGTTTGCGCCTGGGGGTTTGCTTTCAATGGACTGACAGTATCCGTAGGTAGGCGGCGGACGAGACGGCGGGAGGTCTCCGGCGGAATAGGCAAGCTGAGAGGCCGGCATCTACCTACCTAGGTACCTAGGTGTATCCGTCTTCACTGTTGGGCAAGTCATTGCGGCCAAGCCAAGCGCCCGGGTGGACAGCGTTCGGTTCAGTGGAGCGGAGCGGGTTTAGCACTGCGTCGCTGTGAGCCAATGCCCGCCGAATTTCCAGCACGGGCGGCTCCAGAGGGCGATTCGCCCGTAGAGAGATGAGTTGACGGGGCATTGAAAGACACGGCAGTTTTCGTGGAGTTTAAGAAATAAATAAAATCGAACAAAAGAGAGACAAATGACCCTGGTTGGCCCTTTGTGGGAACCATTCACAAAACCAGGGAACGGGACGAGTTGACCAACTGAGCAATGGTTAGTAGGTACCTAGGAGGAGGTAGTACCTGAGAGGTAGTCCGGGACGCTTCGGCCGCTACAAGCCCCAAACAGCGGTGATTTTCAGGGCCCGGGCTTGGTGGCAGCAGCCAAAAGGGTGGAGACTGCGAGAGCAACCGCTACATCGGTTTACTGCTAAATAACCAGGTGGTGCAAGTAGCAAAGTCCAGGGTCTCTAGGTGTAGTTAGGGCTTTTTTTCTTGTTCACCCATTATCTGGAACTGCATGCACTGAATTATGAATTCGATTGGCCGCCGTACTATTACAATTTCAGTCAGCGAGAATTATAACGAAAAAAAAGAAAAAAAGAAAATGGAAAAGAACGTGGGTGTTCGACGCTAAAGAATCTAGCGGGTCCCGACCTGAAGCACCCCCGGGGCAATGCGGTGATGCTACTAGGAGGAGGAGTAGTACAACCACGTACCAGAAAACCAGCCCAGGCACCGCTTGGGTACGGAGTACTACCTATCCTATGCTTGCTGCCCGTCAGTGCCAAGCCCCGGTACCAACCAGTCAACGGCCAATTTGCCCTGGCATCAGGACACGGGAGCGTGCTTCCAAAAATAAGGACAGTGACAGGCCGGGGTGCAGGCAGGGAGGGGGGGCGAGGGCAACGCATCACGGCAAGGTGGTTGCTTCGTATTTTTCCATTTTTCCTCGTTGTAACCAGTCCGTCTGAGCTCGCACAATGCACGTTGATGCACAACCCAGCCGGCCCAGGATGTGGGTGATGCAGCGAGGTACAATACGTGCCAGCCGCCACAGAAGGAAGGGGCTGCGTTTTTTTTTTCTCCGTTGCTCAAGAGCTGAGCTATACAGTGGGCCTCGATTGTCAGTATTTGCAAGCAATCAGCGTAGTCCTGTATTCCCACTGTAATAATAAAGTGAAAGAAACCTGTACGGAGTACTCCGTAATTCCCGTATGCACTCGACTTGGCAGGCAATGCACCTCGAGGCTTCTTCACCTTCCGTTCGAAAAGTGGCGCTGGGTGTGGCTGTTTGGCTTTTCTTCCGCCACCCCTCCTCCACGCCTCCACGACCAAGCTAGAGGTCCACTTCCGCTCCATTGTCTCGCCAGTTAGTGCCGTTGTGCGGATGCTGCATCCTCTCACCATTTTTTATTAGTATCCTACCGCAACAATGCGTCGCAGGGGACATGCTGCCAGCCAAAAGACGGAAAACCGAAAAAAAAATAAAAAATGAAAAATAAAAAAGATCGAGGCCGATGAGCACCTACCAAAGATCGGAACGACCTAGCTCAGCGCTCCTACGTCCACGTACATACATACGCGAGCCCACTTTTGCCGCTGTCCTCCTCTTGCTGCTCCTCCCGGCCCTGCAACCTTCGTCACTCTTTATTATCTTGTCTCCCTCCGCGCATGAACCCCCCGCCTCGACATTCTTCTTTTCCAACTTCAACTGTGTGACTCTTGTTCCTTTCCCCTCCCTTCACCTGGCTTGCGGGCAGTGACAGCCTCCGTGTGCTCTTCACTTCATCTCACTCGCTTTCTTCCTCGGCTCTCGAAGCATCCTCTCGCTTTCTCCTCGCTCTCTTTCCATGTCTTACTAGCAGCACGCACCGGACCAGAGCGCCAAACCCGTACACAAGCCGGACGTTTTACGTCCCCCTCACGCTTGACGACTCCGATTTCGCCCAGCACCTGCAACACAGATCTATATCCAACACACCTTAGATCGCATCTATTACACAATGGGCATCGGCAGCTATTTCAAGGCCGGCAAGGCCACCAAGGCCTCTGTGCCGCCACCACCCCCGGCCCCGGCTGCTGCTTCACGACCCGAGAGACCAGAGCGATTCCAGAGCACCGCAATCAGCGAGAAACCCTTCAATGCCAACGACATGGAGCTGCAGGCTCCCAACCCCCGTTACAGCTCCCGTCCTGTCTCGGTTCGCTCCGGCCACTCCACGCCTTCCAACCAGAGCTCCTACATGCTCGACGAGATCAAGCACGAGGTCATGGTCAATTACCTCTACCAGCAGCAGTGCTCCCAGCTTTGGGTCAGTGATGGCTCTGGCGAAATCGAGGGTGTCCTTCTGCGTAAGTCGCGCGGACACTACATGGCATGCCCTCCCCAGCTCGTCCATTCTCCGTTTGCCCAGGCCTGCTGCGCTCTGAACGTCCAGGTAAGCACAATTCTGCCAATACCCAATATTTGGCTGTTCTCTCATCTTCCTTTGTCTTTGCGCTGGTTGACTAACTGAAATCTAGTGTGCCATGACGGTCAACTCACGTGTCATCAAGACGTTCCTCCAGTGGTCTCCCGACGCCGTCGACGTTCCCCTGATGAACGGCCTTCGCGTCCAGATTCTCCCCACCATTGAGGATCTGCCTCGCGCTCGCAAGTACCAATTCGCTGCCTTTGTCGCCTCCGAGGGCCTCTTGGTCGTCTGGGATGACGACGCGCTGCATCTCCTGCCCCGCGCCAAGGCTATCGAGTCGGAGCTCATGGAGCTCGTCTGGAAAGCCGGCAACAGTGACGAGGAGGAAGATGAGAAGCGCGCTGGTGGTGCCGTCGCCGAGGCCGAAATCGACGAGGAAAGTGGCGAGGTCAAGCCCGAGAACCGCCCTATTCATCTGCAAAATACCGTCCTCGTCTCCCTCACCCTCATTCTCGTCATTGTCTCGCTCGGTGCCGCCTGGCGACAGCTAGCCATTGAGGTGTCTATCGACAACTCTTACATGCGTCTCGCTCTCGTCGCGCTCATGCCCCTGCAAATCTTCTTCACCCTCTTCTTTGCCCAGGTCATTGTCGGTTGCCTGGCCCAGATCTTTGGACCCATCCGCCAGCTCTCCGTCAACTCCAAGTTCTACTCTGCCCGCCCGCCTCCCCGCCTGACCAGCCCGATCCTTCCTCACGTTACTATCCAGTGCCCCGTATACAAAGAGGGTCTCCAGGGCGTTATTGTGCCCACCGTCAAGTCCATCAAGCAGGCCATGTCGACGTACGAGCTCCAGGGCGGCTCCGCCAATATGTTTATTAACGACGACGGTCTCCAACTCCTCCCCGAGGAGGACCGTCACGCCCGCATCGAGTTTTACGCCGACAACAGCATCGGCTGGGTTGCGCGTCCCAAGCATGGTGAAGACGGCTTTGTCCGCAAGGGCAAGTTCAAGAAGGCCTCCAACATGAACTATGCCCTCATGATCTCTTGCAAGGTCGAAGAGAAGCTTATGCTCACCAACCGCACCCCCGACTGGAGCCAGCACGACGAAGCGCTCGCGTACGAGCAGGCCCTCAAGGAAGTCCTCGAGGAGAATGGCCGTGCCTGGGCCGACGGCAACATTCGCGTCGGTGACTACATCCTGCTGATTGATTCGGACACGCGCGTGCCTGCCGACTGCTTCCTCGATGCCGTCTCCGAAATGGAACAGGGCCCCGACGTTGGCATCATGCAATTTTCGTCGGGCGTCATGCAGGTTGTCCACACCTATTTTGAAAACGGCATCACCTTCTTCACCAACCTCATCTACTCAGCCATTCGCTACACCGTTTCCAACGGTGATGTTGCCCCCTTTGTCGGCCACAACGCCTTCCTTCGCTGGTCCGCCATCCAGCAGGTTTCGTACCAGGACGAGGACGGGTATGATAAGTTTTGGTCTGAGAGCCACGTGTCGGAGGATTTCGATATGTCGCTCCGTCTCCAGTGCAACGGCTACATTATCCGCCTCGCCGCCTGGGCCGGCGAGGGCTTCAAGGAGGGCGTCTCGCTGACCGTCTACGACGAGCTTGCCCGCTGGGAAAAGTACGCCTACGGTTGTAACGAGCTGCTCTTCCACCCCATCCGCACTTGGCTCTGGCGCGGCCCCTTTACGCCCCTCTTCCGCAGGTTCCTGTTCTCCAACATTCGCTTCACCTCGAAAGTCACCGTCATCTCCTATATCGGCACCTACTACGCCATTGGCGCCGCCTGGATCATGACGACGGTCAACTACTTCCTCATGGGCTGGTTCAACGGCTATCTGGACAAGTACTACGTTGACTCGTGGCAAGTCTGGTTCGCCATCATCATTGTTTTCAACGGTCTTGGTAACGTCTCCCTCGCCATTATGCGTTACCGCATCGGCGAGCGCAGTCTGCTCTATGCCATCTACGAAAACTTCAAGTGGACTCTCATGCTCGCCATCTTCCTCGGCGGCCTCTCCCTCCACGTCAGCCAGGCCCTTCTCGCCCATATGTTTGAGGTTGACATGACCTGGGGCTCCACCTCCAAGGAGGCCGAGTTTTCCAACTTCTTCATTGAGGTCCCCAAGGTTCTCAAGAACTTTAAGTTTTCCATCATTTTTGCCCTCATTGCCATTACTGGCATGATTATCCTTGCCGTCGCGCCCTTTGTGCCCCACGACTGGCGCATCACCGACTTTGTCGCCATCCTGCCCATGTCGACCGTCGCCGCCAGCCACTTTCTCTTGCCCTTTGCCCTGAACCCGGCCCTCATGACCTTTTCGTGGTAAATGGAGTTTCTGGCAGGGTGTGGCTCTTTGCCTCGGCTTCACGACGTGTACTCTGGCCACCGCTCTCTTTTGCACCCCTGACCTATCTACCCTATCTACACACAAACACACACATACAGCTCCCTGCTTTGGCCAAGTATGGCGGACCAAGGCCGCCAGAAAAAGGCGATGGCTCATACATCCCACCAACTACTGCACATATCGCTGCGCAAAAAAACACACATTAGACGCATATTATATTGGAGTTTTACGGCGTCATGGCTCTGGCTGAGCCCCATTGTTTTTATTATTGTCATTGGATTATTTATTGAAGAGTCGTTGGATACTGCTGACCTGAGCTTTTTGCATTCATCTCTCATGCATGGCCTTTGTGCCTTCCTTTGACAACCAATCTGGAAGACAGCTAGTCTGCACATCTGTTTCAGTAGATTGCCATGTGCCTTTGTGCTGCCTGCAAGTTTTGGATGCCCACCTAGTTTAATACTTATTACTACTACTATGGATAAAAAAGAAATGATAATACTCTGCTTAATTCCTTTGATTCTTCGCAAGTGACTTTAGAAGATTGCACAGAGATGGGTCTCGAGTGTCCAACAGCGAGCTTTGAGGCCGACAAAGGTGTCGGCCAATGTGTGACACACTATCCACGAGTCTTTGTACTGAACGGGAACACGCCAACGGGTGACGCCGTCTACAGTTGTGCATGGGCGTGTGGGCGCAAGAACCAGTTGTCGTGCAATGCCTCCCGTGCCGGGAACGGAGCTCAGTGCATCTCACCCACGGTTGGACAAACCCGCCTTCGTCTTGGCGACGATAAAAGCTAGTCACTGGAGGTGGTTCCAGCCGAGCCGGTCTGTGCTGGTAGCAGGATGTCTCAGGGCTGTGTATTCACGGCTTGGTTGCATGGGCTCCGTCAAGGCGCCGACGTCCGCTTGCGCGCCGACCCTGTCAAGGATCCCATGCGGGAACGCAAGAGAACAAGCGACGGCTATCCGCGACCACGGACAGACTGCCTAGATTTTGCGCATTGCCTGACTAGGTATGGAAAGGCGTTTTCTGTTATTAAAATTGCTGACTGGACCCAGAGCGCCTCTGTTTATTCGTCTCTCGCGACGCTGCTTTGTTAGTATTAGCGTGACAAGCCGCCATCCGCCACCATCATATTGGGCTGCTTTTCGCTTGTTACGATTGTTCGTTCGGTCTCCGACGTGGGAGCGCTGGCGAACGGCCCGGGCGTGTAGATTTGCTACTGTAACTGCCGATGCCGGCTCCCGGTGCGATGGGGGGGGACAATGTACCAATCGGTGACGAGAAAAGCTGTAGTGTGAGGGGAAAGCGGGAACAATGGACAACACTTGTTGTTGAGAAATAAAGGCCAAGGCGACGGCATTTGCGACTAGAAAGCAGGGATGCTCTCTTGCAAAGAATGACAGAAACTGCTTATGATCACTTGACGAGGATAAGTCTGAGCGCTTGGGTGGCGCGATCAAAATATTGCACGGTTTATTACATGCATGACTTCCGCCTTCCCACTTCGCAGATTGGACAAAGTGGCGAGACGGATGCCGATTACCCGCGAGGAGGGTGGTCAGTGAAGGCTTGTCTGCATGGGCCGGCCTGCGGTGAAGCGGTCGCGTCTGATGGCACGCTGCATGTGCATGGCCTGAGTGGTGGCGTTTAGCGAGTTGAATCACATTGCATGCGCAAAGGGAGAGGGAGTTGTTGCTTCAAAAGCCCCAACGTCCATGGATTATCTTTGAGGGGGTCCGAGACGTCTATAAGTGGTGGCTGCGAGACAATCTGCTCAATACTCATGATGGTGGACAAGGCGTTGGTCTGTCATAGACGCCGGCGCTACCAACTCTTGATGGCCAAAACCAGCTCGTGAAGGCTGAACCGTCCCACTCTGGTTTGGCGAGAGCGGCTGCTTGACCGGAAGTGACCCAGCCCTGAAGCTCAAGGTAGCATTGAGAATTTTGCAAGGTTGCGGCGTGATCCGACAAGAGTGCGTGTTCTTCTCACTGTGATTAGCGTCGTATTTGCGGCACTAGGAGGGCCGACTTGAGCCATTCGAGCAGGCAACGTACGAGGTTGAAATTGCAAGTGTGCACATTTCCCTGCTATGCAGCAGACATTACGCCCATAGCCTGGCCCGAGACGGGAAGGGGGCAGTCGGAAGCCAGGCCCCCCCCCC